ACATAAAACAAAATGGGCGACTGTGATAGAATATTTAGCAAGATAAAAAGTGCTACAAATATTGTGACATAACATGTTCACAATTCAGATAAGGTAAAAAAAATAAGAAAACACAATAAAATACTGAAAGTATCTAACTTTTAATAAAAGTATGTGTGTTAACTTTTACTTTTTGTAAGTGTTTAGCTAATATAAGTATTCATACGTAACTATTTTATAATTTTAAAATAGTAGCAAAGAAAATTTATTTGCTAAAACTTCGACTGGGGACTTATATATATTTGGAGGAAGAAAACCATATGTGGTCATACTATATTCCAGGTATCTCTCCATAGAAATAGCAAAATATATTGTCTTATATGTAAAAGAACATTTTATATCAAAAATACTAGGAACAATGTGTGTTGGTGAGGGTGCAGAAAAATAAGTCTTATTCACTGTTGGTGTTAATGAAATTTGGTGCATACCCTAAGGGTACTCCTTAAAAAACTTGAAAATATAACCACACAATGCCTCTTCTAAGTATCTAAAGGATATGAAAATAGTAATTCAGAAGAATTAATGTACCTCTCATAGGGGTACACTTTATAGCAACACTTTATAGTAGCTAAGACATGGGAACACTCTAAATGCCTATTGATGGGTGACTGGATAAAGGTATATACTCCATAGATATTACTCAACTGTTGAGAAAGATCAAATTTTACCTTTAGTAAGTTGTGTTAAGCAAAATAAGTCAGAAAGTTAAAGGTAATTATCAAATGACTTCTCTGATATCCTGAATATAAATTGCTAGTGTTTACCAGAATGTAAAGAGAAGGGAGTCATGGATGGGAAGCATAGAGATTATAAACTTGATGGTAAGAACCGCATTAGAACGTTGAGGTGGCTGACATGAAGCTGTACAAGTGTAGAGGCTAAGATGGACCTTCCAGAATGTATATAGTTTTGTTAATATTAAAGTAAAATGTATATACTGGAGACCATAAAATTCAACCTGTAATAGTCAAGGCCTGATTAGTAGTCTTCATTAAATATCTTTTATTGCTTATACTTATTTCAACTAATAATTATAAAAGGTAAAATTGACTGAAAATTGAAAATGCAGAGATGAAATATGAACATAAATGGACCTACTCAAGGAGATCAAATAGTTCTTTATTCAATGTAGCTTATATTAAAAATATGCCTAGTATAAACAATACTTCCTCATGACATATCATGGACATGATTTAAATGAGGGCTGTAGTATTACAACATGAGTTCAAAATTCTGCCTTCTTTAGATTCCAGATGTTATGTGAATCAAATAATTTAGAGGAAAATGAGGCACTGATATCTTTTAACAGTAGGATTAACCTTTATTAATACATCGAAACTTTATTAGAAAATAATATTTAGCCTAAAAATATCAAAGATGTGGAAAGTCTCCCCATGTTTACTTGAAAATCACTTTTTGATGCTTAGGCCACAGTAGGCATAATAATGCATAATTTTTTTGTGTGTGTGACATTTCCTATAGTATTTTGTAGGATAACTGAAGGTTAATGCAATTTGAGAAAGATAATCTTTCTTGAACAATACTGAATACATTTTATTTGTTATAAACCTGTGTTTTTTTGTTATGGAATTAACACATTCTGAGGCTTATAAAAACTACATGTTACCCATGTTGTGTTATATTGGCCCCATGATGTATTTTTTAAAAAGATGACTATTGGCCCTCCCTGGTGGCGTAGCAGGTTAAAGCACTGCACTGAGAAGCTAAAGCCACTTCAGCATGAGTTCGATCCCCGCCTGCCCCGGAGGTGACCACATGGCGAGGCAGAACTCTCCTGACCCGCCCGCTGCTCCCCTCAGCAGTGTACTTT